ATATGTGAGTTGGACGAACATCCCTGCCGGCTTTTGTGGAAGTGATTTCAGTGTAGCCAGTCGTGCCGTTTCAGTGTTGAACACGGTTAGACACTCGGCCAGTGCGCGATCGATGTACCACCCCTACGATGTCTCAGGTAGGTCTGAGTTCAAGTACCATTTAGCATCCCATTCCATGTGCTCGTGGTGATATGCCATTGATCAGACCACATAGTTGAACTGCGCCTCACACCGCCTAGGTATGTACCATTTAGTTACTTATTTATTGACTGCTTTGGGATTTGTCATTCAGCGAACAGTACGCATTTTGTAGCGTTCGTATCCGTCGGACTCAGTTTGATGGCGATAAGAAATTATCTTGAGAGACCTATGGAGGAACACGATTTTTTGCTTGAGTTATGTATGCGGTTGGCGGAGAAAAGGTATAGTTAGCTCGAACCACATTGCATATTATTATTATTATACACGTTAACTAGAGGTGGGAAAACACCTCCGCTATTGTGCCACATTGTGTTGGTAGTAAGTAAGCTAAACCTCATTAAGATTGCGCGATGGAAAAGCGCAAATCAACACCGGAAAGCGAAATTAGGAGATACAGTGGCTTTGTGCTAAGAGGCGCGTCTAAAAGTAACATACCGAATGCAAAGACTTCACTGACTTGCCGACGCTTTGTGAGTAAAACTCGTTGACGACTAATGCGACCAGTTATTTGGACCAAGTTCACGAAGGCAATGTGCTGCCTGTGTCAGGATGAATGCATTTGGGGTAACATTCCACCAATCTACCGGCTGACATTCAAACACCCTTAACTGTTCTGTAGGATATAGGCAGTAATTTATTATACTGCTTTTCCTCTTCTTACCGAGATCCACATATTTCGTATAAGTCGGTCGCTTCCTGGGTTAGCATATGATGTCTTACTTTGTGTCCCTGGTCTCGCAAAGTTAATCCCTCGGAGATAAACGGTTTAATCGACGAAGCATGCTGAGCGAAAATGACAGCATAACAAGTGTGTAGAAACCTCGATGTACATAAGTGGATTATTTCCAGCACGAACAACGCTTCTGCATTGATGAGATACTTCCTTTGAATCAGGTAAACAAACCCCCTCCAGCATAGCCAAATAAGAACCAATCAGAGCGTAGGCGAACTATGCGTAGGCGTCCAATCAACTGCTCTGTTCGCTTTCGGCAAGCCAGCCGCTTGCTCCACCATGTAAACCCGTATCGTTCCTGTGCTTAAACAATCCCGTCACACCCGACGGTAGTTTCTAAATGTTGACTATTAAAACTCAGCAAATATGTTTGTTATATTTCGTCCAACTATGCACCCACCTCTTCCACTTTGGCAACCGCTCGCTCCTTAAAATCCTCCGTTCCCACCGAATGAGTGTAATGCAGTGGAGAGCTATCTTACTGTCCTACATCAACTTCTGTCATCTTTGTTTTACACACCTCGCTGCACGTAACATATATAGTAATTGCATCAACTAATATAAATTTATTTTTCATGGCACAATACGGGGCACTATCCGCCGATATTAAGAGAGGTATTTTGTTTTCATCCGCTGTTTTACTTTAGGTTTCAGAGCGGCAAGTTGTTGAAACACTGCCCACTTTCGGCTACCTTGCGTTGCATTTGAGCACTGCGATGACAGACTCTTCGATGTGCTACAGCTCTGATGGGAGGGTATTGCTCGTCACCGTGATTACGAGATGCTCGTTTGGATTTTCGGATTGCTACCCAGAGTGCTGAGACCGGCACGCATTCCGACTTTGGACCACAAGTTACTTTGAGGCGAAAGTTGGCCACCGTGTAGGCGGGACCGTGGCTGAGATACTTAAATACAGGCACCGAGTAGTTCTGAAGTCGTGCAAAAGCTTTTTGAAAGCTGTTGTCTGCCATGTTCATCGTTCTATTGGTGATGACCTCTTCTATTCTGCGGTGGTGCTGCCTCACAAACAGTGACTAAAGCTATCTGTATTTTGCCGCACTAAGCTATTTGGTTCACCTATGTTTCTCCTTGCTGGATGTGCAAAACCAATTTTCCAATAAATGTACGAACCCAGAGGGGCCCTCCGCTACCTTCTTGCATTTGCTTCGGCCGCACCCGCTCACAATCACTGGAATGACTGGAATTGTCAAGACTCGGGTAACACGGTGCCTGAAAAAACACAACCTACTCAGCAGTCCCCAACATGGATTCACAACAAAACTTCTTGTGTTACATTCAATTTGCAATTTCTCGAGCATGTTACAGCAACCTTAGATGACGGCATGACAATCATCATCATCCTTCTGAATATACAAAAAGTGTTTGTCTGTGTGCTGGAGTCCTATGGAATTAGCAACCCTTTTAACGGCCGAACACAAAGGGTACAGATTAGTCAATATACTTCTACCTCCAGAAATGTCACTAGCCGTGTTGTTCAGGGCAGTGTATTGGCCCATTGCTTTTCCTCATTTGCATAAACGAGATATTTGATTACATTAGACACGGGCGCCTATTTGCATTGGTGGATGAAATCAAACTAGTGTACTCATTTCTACCGGACCAACTGGAACTGCTTAAAAATATACGCGAGGACTTGTCATCCCCAAACAAATGAAGCGATAGCAGGTCAAGGTGGTTTTCTGTTGCTAAGGATCCATCACTCTAACTGGCACCCTCAGCTTTACTGCGCATTCCGTTCGATATCCGAGCAGTTTTAACTTCTCCGACACGTCTTATATCAAGTAAGGAAAGCGAAACAACTAACAACTAGATCATTTCCTTACCCCAAACAGGGCTTGAATCATTCAAACTCATTGTGCGACCCACCCTGGAGTATTGCGCTATCATACATAGCCACTTACGTAAAACAGAATTGCTTTGGAAAACGTTTAGCGCTCTTTTACCAGAATGCTCATGGTGCGCTCATCATTGCTTATCTATGATGAGTGATGCTTTCACCTCCAGCTTGATCTACTCTGGCCACGAGGACGGAAAATAAATCTCACTCTTCTCTACAGCGTAATATAATCGCGAGTTTGCTCAACCAGTACGACCGTCGCATTAGGTAACGGCTCAACCTATCCCGCTCGTAATGGGAAATGTTTGCTGTCCTTACACAGCACCAAGACAAATATCCGCTTGACATTCTTCTTGGTTTAGTACGCCCATCTGTGTAATAAACGCCCGTTGGAATTAAGGACCTGCAAGAGCCTGTCCATTTTTTAAAAGAATTTAAAAACTTTTTTTCTGTATCAAATGTGCTCGAAGTGTTCGACCTTCAAAAATCCACGAACGCGCTCGTGGAATCGAGCCCAAACAACATATGACATTTTAACTATCAAATAACGTTACTTTTACATACGCAACAAAACATTGCATAACCCTTCCACATTAAGTGGAGTTGATACATGAAATAATAGCGAAACTCGCAGTACAACTCCTCGTTCCACCAAAGGGATCGTATCACGCTCGGCGGGAAATATACCCATCTGTTTATTTGTTTATTTATGTATTTATTTAAACAGTCGCTGGGTACCCCGTACCTTTGAGTTAGGTTACGAGCCAAAAGACGGAAATGTGGTATGCAACCTGTCTTGTTGCAATGAACTATTGCGGATCAAGGGAGACTCTTATGGGCATCCACAAGACGTATAGCACTCTACTAAATAAGACGACATTCATTAACATACTTTTCTGCTTTGCCACGACTGCTATCTTTAGAAAAGGGCAGCGCCACATAATCTTGTTAGAAACGATGATACGTCTGGTTGAGTAAGCTTCAAACCATCCCGCTGATCACGGTGGTTGTTGGGTTACCGATCTCCTTTCTGTCCAGAGTTATTCTGGCCCATGGTTTCCCACCCGAGCAGCTAGGATCTCCCTACCGCAGATGCACGTTACAGAGTACATCTTGAGGTTTATGATAGGTAGTGTGTACCTCCCTTGTGTAAGCCAACGTGATTGCTTTTCGTCAGCTTTGTGTATGATAAGTAAGCTCTCATTGACAATCAACAGCGTCTTATACCTCACGACAGTATGTCAAAGCCACTGGCCGACTACAAAATCACAAAGCGTGAACTTTTGCAACCAGTAGAAGGTACACAACACAGGATGAATGAATACTCAGATTCTATGCAGCCCTATATCATCATCAACACACGTTAGTTGAAGGTGAGCAACGCACCTCAGCTAATGCACCGCAATACAACAAGGTAAGATACAAAAAATTACGCTACGAAAATTCAAAAGTAGTCAATAAGATGTTAAAGATTATATCATGTAATTCGTATGCGATCGGAATTGGAGGGGGAATCTAGAAGCGAGAGGGATGGACAAAGAAATTCACAACACAAACGCCACAGGGGCCGACTCTTCACCATATCAACAAGCATGTCCAATCAAAGGTGTTCATCGGCCTTAGGTCCCCAGCCAGGGAGTCGGGATGCACCAACCGACGCCCACTTCGAAGTGAAGGTTTTGCAACCCTATGTATCGAATACAGAGATGGCATATGAGCCACTTGACCTTCAACTTTCTCCGAGTGCGGCGGCGATTTTAAGACTCAAGGAGTGCGCCTCAGTCTCCATACTGCTAGGCATTAACTCATCAAATGCACCACCTGAAAACCATGTGCTTCAGGTCCGTTGTATCGATCTCAAAAGATCTTTGCTGTATGCTGGTCGCTTCTCTGTCTATTTGTCAGCTCTCTCCGGTCTAATGCTCTAGCAGGACTCCCATAAGTCCACCATCTTCCTCCGTCAAGGTAATCGGAAAGCATTTTCACCCACCATCTGTGTACTTACCACCGCATTCCCTCCTCCCCCTTTGAAGCACTGTGCTCATAAGAGGTACCGAAAACCGGTCTCACTAAACCACACACTAACAAACCACAAAACAACCGCTTTAGTTCACATTTACAACATCCCTACGTGCTCACAAGCATTTCACCTCCTTCGTTCTTCTTCACCGCATTTATTTGATTGCACGCTTTTCACTCATCTGGCAGTGCTTCGAAGGAATGGGGAGATGCTACCAGAGGATTACAGATGTCCACCGCCATGCGCGCCATTCTCAAACTAGGAGTGAAACCGGTTCATGCCAAAAACTGGAGACCGCAGATTCTTGTCTACTTGACATTGGATCAAAATTTGCAGGTTCGCCACGATCGGCTGTTGGATCTGGTCTACCAGCTGAAGGCTGGACATGGTAGGTGATGGTATTTCTATTGTCGTGCGCGAAAATTTTGTCTCGGTCGAGTTGCACTTATTCTTGAACATGTTGGAGTCCAACATCCATTTTGCTGTGTAACTTTCACATCTTGTCATTCCATCAAACAACCTTCTGTAGCAAACTCTCTACAATGCTCAGTCCGTTTTGCATGCTTTACTAAGCGCTGGTTGCATCAGTTGGTCAGCTATTGATAACATATTAAAGCTATGCTTGCGGCAACCGTTGAGTTAGGTTTGTTTTCCTCAACGGGTTTGCACATTGTCTGTGCTTCCTTTCACCGCCCAGCTATACTTCCTAGCTATCATCCCTGTTGTGACTAACTGCTTCCAGTTGACGGCTTCCCATTCACCCTCATCAGCTACACTCACTCCTGTGTTCTGTGAATGTACGACGAACTGACATTTCTACTCAACGAAAAGTAGTCATTATTGTAATCCGTTTTCTATCGCAGTTGTTGCATGTTCCCACATGTTCTTTGTTCTTTTATCACCACTGCTCTTTACTAGAGAGGTGGCGCAAGCCCTAGCTGGCAGGTCCGCTTGACGTAGCTCTTCAAGTCGTACATTAATCACTAAAATAAACGTCACTCTATGCACCTACCATCTCGTGAGGTTCGTGGCTCTAGTTAACAGTTTCTATTTAGCGCAGATCTCTTTTGTATACCAACATAGCTAAATAAGGCAACTTCATTTCCGGAGCTGAGCCATTTGGTATCCGCCTGGAATACAGCTCTTAGGCTCTGGTCAAACTCCAATACAGCCATAGCATCGCTGCGTGCTCAAAGCTAGGTTCTCAGTATCGCATCGAAACGACTCAGTTTAATGACCGTCTAGTTGGTCGGTTTATAGCTAGATGTTTCAGTGTGCGCTAATTGGGACTTTATGTCTCGTTGGTATAACGTTTGCTCCTCAATGAACAATGAACAATGAATTTATACGGGTTAAGAAGCGTTGCTTTACAAGCCCCGTTGGATAGTTGGTGGGGATATCAACATAACGATTATGATGAAGAAGATAGTAGAATAGTTAATACTTTAAGTACGAAAATAAGGACTTATTGTTTGCTTCGCTGCAGTCCTGCGATCCACTTAGATTCACAACACCCACAGTTAACAACAAATAATTCCAGGGTAAACTCCAGGTGTAGGATGGAGACATAGTGTTAAGTAATAAAGTGTAAGTGGATGAGTGCTTCGTCCAACCGTCTTTTAAATAAAAACGCTTGTCTTATGTCCTGTCTTTGTCAGCGCAGTGTGTGGCTAGAATGCGACCGATAGATGCGCTGTCTTACCTTATTGCACTAAGTGAGCTCGGGGGTTTACAATAAGGAAATGTGCAACGAAAATTTAGCCCTTTTTGCAGTTTTCATCTTCATACTGCGTTTGCGGGACCATTGCGTTGAAACAATCATCGTTTCAGAGAACCATTAAGCTCTGTCTTCCCAGTTACGTTCTGTCATCGATTCCCCTTGGTAACTAGTGCACTTTAACTGTGTTTCACTGCGTCTGGCATCCTACCGTTACAAACACTTGCGCCCTAGAGTTGTAACACATTGGTCCTAGAACAACAAGTCGGAGAAACAAATCCATTATGGATTGGATCTGTTAATGGAACAATAGGGCAATGTTGGGTAAAAGAGCAACTCCCCAACAGGTCCCATAGGATGACCAAAATGAAAACCACAGGTGTGATGAAAACAGCGGTAAAATGAAAAGCGTCTTGGTGCATTTACCATAGTGTTCACGCAGAGGCATGCAGAAAATAGCCAACCTTGATTATGTAGATTAATTCTGATTGTGCAACATTTGTCAAATTATATTGTCTGTTGCTGTATACAGATTCTTTCTCGTAATGTAGATGGGTTAGGGGAAGGTCGAGGCGTTTTTGCACACATATTGTGGGGGCGGAAACAACGTAAGTTGAGTGGGCGTTCCACGGCTGGCAGACACAAAAGCGTAAAAGTTTCGCCGACATTCTAGCCGATTGTATTGCGTGACCAACTTCAACTGGTGCCTTTCGCCTGACGAAGCTCCGGTGTCAATGAAAAAAATATTGCCACAACACATGCCCATATAAAACCGATTTGTATGCTAAAGCCTTTGGTAATTTGAATTCGTGGCCCTTCAAATTTGTTGTGACTGAGTTACGGTAGGTGAAGGCAATGTTAGGTTGCCACCTAGGCGCCGATACTGACCGTACACGGTTTTACCGAAGTTACAACTGTGCTAATTCGTTCCATCATTTTGTCATTTACTGAAATTACTCTCGCCACACGATTTTGGTTCGTGAATGTCTCCGTACTTTATCATCACCTTGTGTATGTTTCGGTTGTGAATATTCTGATGCAGTTTGGGGTCTTTTTGATACCATTTCACCAACCACCACATTTCTCCTTATCGACTTAGGCCTCACACTTGTCGTCTCCATTTTGGAGGGCGATGTGATGGAGCGTAAAGAAGATGCGTTGCAGGCTAAAGCATACCTGAGTGAGGTGATTCAGAAATACCGCATCAGAGGCCTGCCTGAGGTGTTGGTCGCGGAGAATATCGGCGAGGGGATGAAAAACATGTGAGTTTTGTAACGTCTTCTCTGGGACACTCGAAAAGCCATGCTCTTAGGAGAACTGGCTTCCACAGGTCACTGCTAGGCAGGTCGCTCTCATTTGCCTTTTCAGTCGCTTCGTGCTCGACACATCACATTTTAATGTTTTCCTACTTTTGTGTCTGAAACGACCCGCACTTCAATTCTGTAGCGGTCAGTTACATATTTTGGAATGGATGTGTTGTTTTGGCCTTGCAACCAAAAAGCCTTTTTAACAGCAACTTGTCAAACGATATTTTTTATATTTAACACTCATTGTTCAGGCGATAATTTTCACTGGGTTAAACTCTTGCAGTCGTACTGTGCCATCCCACAGATAAGCCATTCCTAGGATTATGGGTGCCTTGTATCGCAATAGTAAATCTGCTAATGGGTTCGCACTTCAAGTCAACGGAAGCTTACTGGCCCGTGGCCTTAAGCATCACCAGCCTGCCTTGTAAACCCCGGGTCGCGGATTAGAGCTTGCGTAGGGTACCGGGCGACGCTCGCGATATCCCAGCCCACGCGCAACTGGTGGTCGCTGGGCGACAGCGAAGCGTCTGTACTGGGTACCGGCGTACTGCTGATGCCATCTGAAGACTGCTAGCTCTGAGATGTTCTCCTGACTATTGCGCAGAGCACTGATCCTGTGCACAGCAGAAGCAGATAAAGGGCCCGCGCAAAAGCGACAATGAGCACATCCATCGACAGTGGTATTCTGTCCCGTTAGTTGCGATGCAAGTAACTAAGAGTGTTTTACCCATAGCCAAAACTCGTCATCGTGTAGATGAGGAATGTATCGCTTATCCCTCCGAGAGTCGAAACAAAGTCTAGCAACGATCAGCCCCTCTTATTCACTAACCGCAAGGTCATCCATACTTAACATAAACCCGATGTACTATTTCAATGGGGAAACTCGCCACTTGATATTTCCTTTTGTCGCCTCACATATTGTATGCCTATGTTCATTGGACCCCACGCGCCGTTCGTCCGTTTCGATAGGTTTAATCTGCATTTTCTATCCGGATCCACATTTAGCTTAGTCTGTACTAAGCCACATCAGTTCTACGTTGTTTACCAGGCGCTGCAATTCTGTCCAGCTATCGTTGGCGGCATTTTACTCAGCTACTTTTCATGAATCTAGCGTAGGCTACACTCAATCACTCACTTGGCCAGTCGACATTTTGCACCCTGCCATCAACTTAATTTCCTTATCCCGATGATGCCTTTCGCTCATTATTGGCCTGGACTATCCCATTCTTCCTTGTCAGCGACCATGTTACTCCTCTTGCCCCTGTGCATTTGTGACCAATTCGCATGGGCGGTATTTCATGGGTTTTCGTTCATCCATCCCTCTTCAGTTTCGTTTACTTCAGTTACCAGGTACAAGCATAGAAAGTGGAAGTGCCACACAAAAAGGATGCTTGGAAAGACTCTGTAGATAATCTCCCAACTAGGCCAAAACTGCGCTCCACCGTGGTTTATTACAGACATAAAAGGATAAAATGAAAAATGTTGTTTGCAATGTCTGTTGTAATGGCTGCGCTAGAGTGGATAGAACTCCAAGTTTAAGAGAGCTATACACCTGTACTTCGCAACAAATAAAATGCATTCCTGCAACTACCGAAGGACGCATTTGAATGAGACTATTGTTGAGAGAATCGGTCCTGGAAGTGCATGCTTTGGACGCAAGGTACGTGATTGACTCCTAGGTTGCAGACATCATCTAGATGGGTTCCTGAGAACTAAATACTGTATTATTAAATTGAGAACAGTAAAATCCGTATGACTTTATAGAATTTCGTTCGAAGTTGCCAAAAGCAAAAAGTCATTTGTTTATAAGTCGACTGTTTTTAATGATCCCGCGCGAGATTACGACAGTATACTCCCACCATAATGGCGGACTCGCAAGCTTTTGTCCTGGCTAACAGGTGCCCGACATGGCGACGCCGATTTCACCTCGACTGCGTGTTTTGAAACACTTGACCACGCATTCACGACTCCTCACTGGATAAACAATAGGTGGATAATCCACTTCAGATTTAGCATTACAATTTCGTGCTATTGTCGGCTTATGCTGCATGATACGAGAAGGTTGAGAAACGGCTGCTGCATGGGAAGAAACGCAGATGTAAGATTCAGTTGTCACGTACCAGACGAGCAACATCTCAGAACCAAAACCCTGGGTTTTGCCAAGGCATAAACTGTGTGAATAGAAGGGGGGTTTTCGGAGTTCTCAATTGCACGTTGAGCAGCCTTATTCCGACAAGGTTAAACAGAGTCGACTCACGTTTTCTTTTGGATAGCGATGATGGGCGCGATCATCGTCGCAACTATCAAGCTTTCCCCCACTTCCCAATCCTCTGAAAAGTACCTACATTGCCTGAACCACTACAGATTCTAGCTTGTCCCATTATTATGACCCTCTTCACAGTGATTTCGCGCTTAGCACCCTCATTCACTATATACTGTTGCACAAGCTATCTACTGGCTTATTTGGGTTGACGAAATTTTTGCAGTGGTTTCGATTAACATACCAGATATAGCAACCGATTGTTAAACTACCTACAGAATTGGGGAGTGACCTTCTAGCCTTCCTCTTCGCTCGTTCATCCGAAGTGATTCAGCTCGCATGTCCCATAATTTTTATCCACCCTTTTAAGGTCACGATGTGCTTCGATTCAATCGGATCCGTTGTTTAAATCTTTTCATTACCAAAATCCGTGACCGGCGAAATGATTCTTCTCCGTTTCATCTACACATCCGGTCAGTGTGTTGTTGTGGGCCACTTTGATGAGGTGTTCAGTTTAACACCTCGAACCGCACACCCAGCCGTCAGCAGCGCGCATGATTTGTGACCATTTGCGCTAAATGCACTCAGGCGTCTGAAGGCAAGGATGTGCCAACCGGCTGGTTGATGTAATTGACCGTCGGATCTTAAGGTTATTTATTAGCGTAAACATCTTGAGGCCTCCAGGCTACCACCACCATGTCTGTGAAGCTGTATTAAAATGTGATTCAGGCAAATATTTCATGTGTGCATCTGACTGTGGGGCCGACGATGTTGAAATCCATTCATGGATCTTCGGCCTTATTCTACTCTTCCGTCTGGGCTGTGCGACTTGGTGTTATGTACGATCGTGCAAACCAAACTACAAGTACACCGAGCCTCTCAAGTTACCTACCGCGATCCCGTTTCATCCCAGAGTCAAATGATACTCTCTTTCTAAGCCTTTTCCATTAAATGGCTCCGAATACCACCTGCAATCTCGTCGATCAATTCAATTTGATTGCACTATTATTGGACCAGAGCAACAGACATATCTGAGGTACCACATTGTTTCTGAGAGATACCTGCACTTCGTTCCAAAGACGCATCATCAGCGGACTGGTATCGAACGTTCGGATCCCGGTTCTCACAGTTGACTATAACGAGAATAATGGGATATCACCCACAGGGGGCCGGTGTATCGAGTTATGAATTTTGAAGTCCATTTTTTGATGTTCGGCAGTAGAACAAACGATGCTGCACCGGGGCATCTGTTGAACACGTATCCGCTCATGCTAAATGGTACCTCGTTCGCAAGCCCGGTGCGCAGCTACTTGGTTGTGCTTTTTTTATATCAAAACGGCCCTTTACTAATTTAAATCCCGAGGCGCACAACGGCACAAGTACATGAAGGCAGAGACTGTTTTGCATATTGCATCTTCTTGGATGTGGTGCAGGTAGTGTTTACAATAGTCGTTAGGTATACCAATGGTTCTCGCCCCTCTGCTTTTAACTTTGGGCCCTCGCATTTAGCAACTGATACGTTTTTCATCCCTAAAACCTTTCCTTCTTACTCCATCTCTTGTTTTGCTAATCACTTAAATGAGCCAAGCGAAGCCCGCTTAAGCTCGTGAAACTTGCGCAGAGTTCGTCTAAGGTTGCCTCAGCAATACTGTCACTATGTCGCGACTTGCATTACGCGGTTCACAGCCAATCTCCTCAAAGACACCATTGCTGTGTCAGTACACTCATTGCCGTATCGACCGTCCTAAGCCAAACTGACACTAACTGTTTTCCTCAGGGCACTACCACTACGTGGCAACTCATGTATATTGATAGCGTTTATCTTCCTCCAAAGTTTATGTATTACGCTGCTATATTATTGATTTGAAAATGTGAAAGTAGTTTACTCAGTAAACGGACATTTGCTGTCGGCCAATCTTTCCTGGGTCTCGGGTACAGTCCTGCGATATTACGCGTTTCGTCTCCGGTCTCGGCTCGTGTATACTACGTCTAGCATATAGTTCCACTAATCCCTACCGATCCAAATTCACTTGGCTACTCTGCATTTGGGGGTAACATCAGTGAAAAGCGTTTCGTCGGTTCCGACTAGAAACCGAAACAACGGACTTGTTAGGACACTAAACAGCTGGAATCCCCGCATGTTGACTCGTAGAGCCTATCGTATCAACTCATTTCAACCTACTCAGCTTATCAAAGCAATCAGCATTTCGCAGCTTGTATGCTCTAAGTAGTTGCCCAGAGCTTCTTTCTGGGCTAAGCTTAATTGTTCCTGCATAGTTCTAGGTTAACCAGGCTATGGATATTCACCCTTCATGGGTGCCTAAAGTACATTTCTTACTTGACCAAATACCCAGCTGACGGCCTCAATTGCCGCTGTCAGTATATCCACCCAAGCGATTTGCTTGCTGTGTGAAGATTCATCGCAGTTAGACCCAGACAGAGAGCCACTACACATCCAATAAAGCGCTTTCCTGGATTTGTTTTTGTGACCTACTACGCGGAACCCATCAAACGCCCCCTCGCTTCTTCCGCGACGCTCCATGTCCTACTGATCACGAAGTCATCCATCAACCATTTTATACCTAGTTTCACTCCCAGCTCAGGTGACCTTCAGCTGATGAGTCCAAATGCGGACGAAACCGATTGTACTGTGCAATGCCTGGAGCGGACGACATCGACACTTCCCTTCGGATAC